GACTTTAGAAATATCTATTTTATAGTTATCTCCTTTAAGATATTTCAGTATGCTGATATTTATTCCACTTTCATTTTGTACAGATTTATGTGAGGGTAAAATGGGCAATTTCTATACCAAGGTACATGAAAATGGATTGTTTTTAAACCAATAGATTTATTTGAAATTGTAGTAAATATGCAACAATATTGTGCAAGAGAAAATGAGATAAAATGAGGACAGAAGCACTTGAATACTTTAATTTTGAAATCAAATTTTTGTGGTCTCCCCCACTCTACAAAATCCAACCAAAAGCAGAGATTTATTTTTTTTTAATCTATGGAAAATTAATAGAATATGAGATAAAATAGTCTGGGAGAAGGGATTTAGAGATAAATCACTAAGACTAATAGAGAACATGACTTTTTTTTCAGTAGAAGACACAAGGGCTCCTTCACTGCACAGGGAAATGAGAGCTTGTACTGCAGTGACAAATCCAAGGGTGAAAACAAAGACTGGGGATTTAGGCCATTCACCTGGGACAGAGGAAAATGTTTGACTCTAGATCTCCTGAACCTCAACAACACTATTTTCTAGATTCTGCAGTCACCTTCCTTCTCCAGTGAATGTTCAGCTATTCAAAGGAGAACAATTTAAGGGGAAAATTAATTTCCCTATAACCTTTAATTTGAGGAATTATATTTTGAGTTTCTTCAGCCAAGTGTGGAGAAGTTTGAAATCCTAAAAATGTGTATTGGGGAAGGAAGAAGTTCCTTGTATGTGCCTTTGTACAGAGCTTCACAATTCACAATTCGTCTGTCTTGACCTTCCCCCAGAGGTTTCTCAATAGACAACGTGAGTCTGTCATGTCAGACTTGTCTTTACTTATATAACTTTCAAAATAGATTAAATTAAGGGAAGGTTGAGGCCAGCATCCTTAAAAGATGGCTCACCATATGACAAATTTCAAGTATTATTTTCTCATGCTATGTAAATAGTAACTATGCTTCTGGTAATTTACAGTACAGATTAATTTTGACAATACATACTTACTAAATAGTTCATTTTTTGCTAATTTTCACTTAAATATTTTGGTTGGTTTATTTGTTTAAAAATTTCCTATGACTTTTTACCTGAAGCCTTGTCTGGTTGCTGGTGTTCAGATTTGGTTTTGCTCTTCCTTTCCTCTTCTCTCTTTTTTCATGAAGAAATGCCAACAGAATAAGCAATGTGGCAGTGAATTGCTTTAACACTTGCACCTCCAAATAACATCCAGAATGGAATGTGTCCATGGTAACCAGGATGCACTTACAACACTTTCCATTCCTCATCTTTTTAATCTATGCAAATAATATAGGTACTACAAAGTCTATGCATTATTTTTATTTGAAATAACCACATGCTAAGAAATTATCAAGGTAATTTGCAGATTGTCCCGGGTATTTGTACATAAGGAAGTTTTTTAATGCAATAGTGCTATTGACAGTTTGTTCCACTGTAAATCAAAGAATAATGTTTAGAAAAATCACAGTCGTGTTCAACAAAATTACTTGAATATTTTACTTTTTCTGTGCCTCTGCATGTTGGCCTGATCTTTCCATTTTGGCAGAGAGTTCTACTGCAGTGTGCTTCCTGGTATAACAATTAAAAGGAGGTAAGATTATGGAAATATGTATTGCTGTAGTTTTTTTAAAATTAGTATTAAAATGCTTTGGAATTTATACTTGCACACAATAATGCGAGAAAGTAATTTTTTATAGCCATGTTAAAACATCTGCTGTAATGCACAGGGGTATTTAATTTGTAGAGTATTGACTTAGTGTTTCATTTTAGAGTTTGTTGGATTGTATAAAGATAAAAATCTTATTCAAGAGTCTATAGACACATATACCCACTCTAGTGTTTGGATTAAAGAAGTTCTTGTGCACTCACATATACTTAAAGTTACAATACAGATAAATACACTCACACACAAAATACTAAACAAAAAATACATGGAATACTTGCTGTGAAAAGTTTGTCTTGCTTACACCAGTGCAGAATTTGAGTATCTGCTATCTGTATACACTTTGTTCTGTTGTACTGTATATCCCATACTGAAAAGTATTGATTAATGTATTTAATTTACACATTGTAATCTGTGGTGCAACATATTTCTGCTTTTTTAAGAATTAGACTTGTGTGTAGTTCATTTTCTGTACAACCTTATAGATTTAATCTGTAGAACATTGTTCAAAAGTTAGAAAGCAACAGTTAATCATTTTTGTCAAGTGGTTTTGGGGGCAGGTAGAACTATTTTCTTTTTCAGTAGCACTTAGCATTTTCATGCTGAGAAATGGGGGTTTTTGGTTTGGGTGGTTTTTTTTTTTTTAATAAATGTCACTTCCAACAGTAACATGAAAAAGCCCAGAGAAAGCCTATTAACCATGTTCCTTTTCTCCTTTAACAATGGGGTTTTCCCCTATAGGATACTGTATTCTTGCCTACCATGTTGAACGGTGTGCAAGCTGAGGAACGTGTTACAAAGATGTCTTTTCTTTCTCTATTTGCATATCAGTTTTGTTCTGACCTTACTCTCACCTCATGTTTTCCACAAATAAGAACGGCAGTAGCCCTACATGCTGATTCTCCCTACACTGCTAGAGATAAAAGGAGCTTTTGGAAGTACAGTACAGCATTCACTGTCCTATTATCCCCGTGGTGGGCTTCTAAAGCCTTCCCAGGCACTAAAATGGTCTCTGAAACAGAATGACAAGGGCTTTACAATCACTTCTGCATTGAATCCTCATGTTACCACTAGTATATGAAAGGATGTTATTTTAGCAACATGGGAATCTATATTGTGCATGTACATTGCAGAACTGTTAATTCTGCTATGATCAAATGTTTCAGTGGCGTAGTTTATTTTTCATATATTAAATTCTAAAATGCAGATTGGATGAATATTTTTTGCCTTCAAAGAGGCAACTGTTTCACTGCAAAGGGATAAAGATTGTGTGTGTATTGTAAAATAGGATGAACTTACGTAACTGAGTAGGATGGTTTTTTCATTTATTCACATAATAAGGGTACAGAGTATTGCAGATATGACTGAGCTGTAATTGAAGCTATTCTGTATGTATGCAATCAGAAATATGATTTAGCATTTTTTATTACCCCCTATAATGATGTATTAGCCACAATAGCCATCAAAATGATGAATTTTAGCTGTCTATATTTGACATTCAAATGTAGATGTTAAGCCTTTATTCAAACTTGTTTACTGTTGCTATAGCTAAGAGATTAACAAAGTAAAAGAAAGACTTGAAAAATACAAAAATGACTGGTGTCTTAGCAGATCATCCGGAATCTGAGCTTTAATTTGAAAATTAGTGATGAGAGTGAATGCAACTCATTGGGAGTTACAAATACTTAATTCTCAACGTTAAAATCTACATTTTATCACTGAAATACCAGAGATATCTAAAGTTAAATCTGATGTTGAGAGATGTAAACACTGTTGTCAGATCTGATTTGTAATGGTAAATTTAACTCTGTTCTTTGGTCAGGATATGTGAGTATTGACTCTTAACTCAAGGCTTGCTTTCAGTTTTCCTTTTCAACATGCCAGTAGAAAAAATAAAGCTCTGTGGAGTTTGTTTTTTATCTACACATATAAAACACATATGTGTTTATATAAAACATATATGTTTGTGTGTTCACCTCACTAATATTCTCATTTGTCAGTTGTATCCCTCATTGTATCAGGAATCCACCTATAGCTATGACAGTGTAAACCCCTCACTTTTCTCAATGAACTGGAAGGAAATAAACCATATTAATATTAGTAAGACTAGAATATATGTTCTTTTAACCTTGCCTACAATAGCAAGTGAATCTTACTTGTGGCTTGGAGTGTGATCTTTACTAGCATGAAGGGAGAAACGTGATTATGACTTTCCTCTCCTGTAGACCCAGCTGTGACAGCAACAAAAAGAAAGTCAATATTAAAAGCTGGCACGCTGTTTAAGCACACAGGTAATGTTTTAAGAGAACTCTGGGAAAATTACTGATAGTCAGGGCCACTTACTCTCCAGCATTTCATAGCTACCTAATTTACTATTCATAGTAATTTTTTGTCTCAGTTGCATGCTTTGTAATGCAGATTTTCTTCTTCTGTCTCTGAAAATGTGAGTTGAACATGTGCTTCTGGAGTGCCTTTTCCAGAGTTTTCCGACAGTCTTAAGTGCTGAGCCTTTGAACTGTCCTATTAATTTTGATTTTAACAAAACGTTAAAATCACAGTGTAACTTCCAACACTGCCATTTTTGAATGCCTGAGCAGTTGAATGGGTATTTCTACTTATCAGGCATTAAATTATGTGGTTAAATTGTGTTTCTATGACTAAATGAAAAACAAAACCAGAATGTTTATATTTTTGCCGGTTGAGATGTCTTTAAATGTGTGTTTATTTCTACAAACAATTTGCATGCAGGGGTTGGGAATGTTTTCTTTGTATGTAAAAACACTTCACACTTGTTCTAGGTGCATTATGGGATGTTTATTGTCCTTTGAAGCATGTTTTAGGGCTGCTGGTAAAGTAACCATGGTCTGATCTCTTTCAATAACTTTGTTTTGGGACTGTAGTAATATTTCCACAATCTGACACCTGAATCTGAGTATTTATCTCATGGTACTTGATACTCATTTCTTCTGCTTTTTTTCTTTTTCTTCTTCCACAATTGTGGTCAATTAAGACCTGGAGAAATTAAAGAATCCCATGAGGATTTTTTGATGATTCATCTCTTCATAGGAGATGATAATAAAAATTACAAATTTGTGGTGGCATATAATGGAATAACGTAGCAATATTGGTCTGTAATAACTTCCTGAAAGATGTGATTGCTTTGGCTAATAGACTTTTTCCCTATGAATTTATTAGTATAAATTAATGTATGAATACTGGAAAAAACAAAAAGCTGTGACAGTAAACCTAAATATATTATAAATCCCAGCAACACTGATAGTTTCATTATAAGACAATGACAGAGATTTTAGCAACAAAAATAGGCCAGGAAGCAATATTTTTATGGCTAATAACTCATAATGCTCTGTGGCAGCCCATTTGTTTTTATGTCCACCGGGATTCCCAATCTGATTTAACACAAGTAACCACAAATGCTGCAGGTAATTGGGACTATGCAAGTGCAACATGACTTCAGGAGCTGCAGCCAGAAAGAGAAAGGCAGCAGGGACACCACTAAATAAACCTCAGAGGTAGACTGGCCACTGAGAACATCTGAAATAATTATGCATTTCCCCAAAGTTCTGTGGAACTGTGTGTCTCAAATAGTTATTGCTTTGCATCTTCCTATAATCTTGGTTCTCAGTAATGGATTAACTTTAAGAGATGGTCATGTCACAAGATATGGTTGATCATGATCATGGCTCACAGAGGAACATATCCTGAAAATACTAAGCCAAAGACACATTAATTCACTAACTGGAGGGAACAGATGAGGTGAGCTATGACCTAGTCTGGAAATGGAGAAGTTCATAACTGCACCTGCAGGGACTGGGGTTGAGATCTGAGGCTTTTGTAGCCCAAGAGGCCTGACAGGACACCTTGGATTGGGGAGATTTTATTCTTTTTTAAATAAACTGCTCTTGTATTCTGTTTGTGTACAGATATTGAAATAAAAATACTTACGGATGTGACTTCATATTTATCCTGTTTTTATTATGAACTTGAAAGGTGTCATTTTCAAATGAAGTCCTGTTTTTCTCATCAACAGTTTCTGTAGACATCATCTTATTGAATCATCATCTTATCTGAGTAAGTTGCCCAGGGAGGTGCTGGAGTCACTGTCTCTGCAAGTGTTCAAGAGGTGTCTGGATGTGACACTTGCAGAATGGTTTAGGGGTGGTTATGGTGGTGCTGGGTTGATGGTTGATGATCTTGAAGGTCTCTTCCAGCCCTGATGATTCTAGGATTCCATGGTTATTTACTCCTGGGTGGAGGAGGTCTGCTTTCCCAAGAAGTATATGAATCTTGGGAAAGTGGTATGGTGGTAGGGAAGAGGGTAACATTATATATCTCTTTCCAAGAATAAACTTGACTGTATCTTCATTTATGATCTCGGATAAGACCAACATGTTCCCTATGCTTTGCTTATTAAAATCTAACACTTCCTACGGCACAATCCAGGGATTTTTAGCCCTGGTGATTTAGCGTGGTCTGCACTTCTATGTTTAGGTTTGTGTTCGTTCAGTTTGTGTTTCTCATTCCCTCTATAACTTTTGCAACTGATCGATGTCAAGTGATTTGATAGAAACAGTGACACTTCCTTAGGCTGTTGGGGTGGGAGGCTGCAAGTGAGCACTGTTCGTGTTCCAGGGATGGACACACCACACCTTCTGAGCTCAAGTGACTGGATATGTGCACAAAAACCATGGAAAAAGTCTCAATCAGCACTCACAGTCCATGACAAAACCAATCTTTAATTCCAGTTATTACTGCTTGTTTTGACTAGAAGGGGGATGAATGTATCCTGAACCAATAGAAAATGGACTGCCTGTTGGATTTGGCTCAGGCTCAGGGTGTCTTTAAATATGCTGGGTTTTTGCAGCAGACATTCATAATTGCTCTGTTAGTTGAAGCAGAGTTGTACCACATTTTAATTTGTGGCAAAATTGATCATCAATTTTTATAAACTTGAGCTTTCAAAGAAGTATTTTTCTATACATTTTTGTTTACTACTGGTGGGGTTTTTTTATTTACCTCATAAAAGTAGATTTGACATGTGAATATATGTTAGTGAGAAGGATTTTAGTGGGGGTTTTTTTCATTGCTTATAGTGTAAGATTTTCCTGCAGCATTTGATATTACTATGATGTCACAATAAAACATCTGTTTTACATTACTTGGGTACAGTGATTCAAATGATTACATTATTGTTAACATGCAGTTTTCTACTATTACTCTGTGTGTTTTCAGTAGGTTACAAATAAGATCTGCCTCCTTTTTCTTGAAAAGTATTGCTGGTGGCTCAGAGGCTTCCTATCCCATAGGAAGTATTGAAAGCCACAGTTCCCATTCTTTTCTAACATTTTATCATTTCTTCCTTCTAAAATCATCTCAAAATTTGGAGTTTTCCCCTCTATTTTTTATTAAAATTATCATATAAGATAAAAGTGCTTTGTTTTCAGAAAAGTGCTAATATAAATAGAAGTATTATGAGAATAGATTACTATGTTTGTGAGAAATTGTATTGTTATGCTGACACTATTTCTGTCCATAGCTCTTGCTGTTCCACACAATCAGATGTTTTACACCTCCTCACCTCCTGTTAAGGGGAGCTTTGCTGCTCCTAAGTATTCACAAATTATCATTATTTCTCTAAATTCTCCACAAATATATATATATAGGAATTATATATATATATGTACTGGAATAATATTCTAGTTATCCTTACTGATTTTTTTGCCAAATGAGAGTTCAAAGAAAAAACTCATCATCCTACCCATGGTTTGCTGCTAAATATTTGGTACATACCCCAGCCACCAAAATGTTTTCCTGTTAAGTATTGGTATTTCCTGTTGTTATCTCCTAGTTTTCATTCCTAAGACTTTATCTGTTTTCATGTGTTTTTTTTTTTTTTAAAGAAAGGTGCTTAAACAATTAACATTAGCATTTTAGTAAATTTATAGTAACTACCATACACCTATAAACATCTGTGTTTGATTTGAAATGTTTTCTGTTCTTTTTGGACAGTGAAATAACTTATCATTAGTTTCTTTTTGTAATCTCCATCAAGCCAAGAGGGCACAGCAAGGTTTTATATATGGTTTTGCAGTGATGGAAAATAAATTGATGATAGTGTTGAGCAAGAGAAGAGAGGTCTACTTATATTTCTGGATGAGTGAACAAATAGTATAAGTTACCAAATAGCCTCCAGCACTCACAGGATGAAATTTTCATAGAAAACTTGAAGTTCAATAGATTTTCACAGTTAGTTCATCATTAGCTGCAGATACATTAATAAAGCAAAATAAACACAGCTAAATATATTTTAAAACAGCCAAAACAGATCACATTATTATTTCTAGAAATAAATAATTTTAAAGAAAAACTCAAATATTCAGGTGGTAGCCTGCCTAATCTTCAACATGAAATACATGCTCAGTGTATTTCATCATCATCATCATTCCCAGTATGTGAAGATTTGGATCATCCTTACACACCAGCCTGAATTAATCAGCCCAACCATTTTTAGTTGACTGTGTAGATCATTTTGTACTTGCATAAGGAATTTGAGGAAAATTACCAACCATATAGAACTGACTTGCTTGGAAAGCAAAAAAGCAAAGGAGAACTGACAGCAAACTGCACTTGCAGCACGGAAATGAAAGCTTGCATAATATTGGGCCACCTACCCAAAGACATGAAGGAAGATAAGGCATTAGCTTCCTTCTCCATAGCTACCTTAGGAATATTTGGAAGGAAAAAAGAAGAAAAGTGTCTTAACATCTTAGCAGTGAAATCATGTAATTTTCAAAGCTCTTTCAAATGTAGTCACATAAGCTTGAATTTTGTAACTAATCTTATAAAATACTTTGGAAGGAAAACGGCTGCATCAAAATTGGCCTGTAGTTAGTATAGTTTCAATTTCCATGATTCTGTTTCTCTCTTTTTATCACTCTAATGTACATGAGAAGATAGATTCTAGTTAGTTAAAACAAAAACAAACCAACCAACAAACAAAAAGCCCCCATTGCAATAAAAAGACAACACTTTGGATGTATTAGAAAAAATTTCCAAATATAAAAAATAGTAATTCTGCTTTAAATTTTGATTGTGTATGAAAAGGCAAAAAAAGTCCTGTACTTATCTGGATGACTGCATTCATTTTGTTAGATCTTAGGAAATCAAAATCTTCATTAGACGTGTAGCAAATTGAATTCAGGATTCTGTTTTATAATGAACTAGTAATTTTATTACTGCAATTTGATAAAATAGATAAGTGATCTGAAGAAATAGTGTTAAACACAAAAGGCCAAGTTCCAAGTGGGACACAGAAGCAGAAATAATTGACTGTATGACTGCACAATGGGGTGTAGCTCACTAAGTAGGAAACCTACAAAGAGAGAATTTGGTGTATTAGATTATAAAGGAATGAGCCAAAAAATGTCATATAATGAGTAATTAGCACAGTTGTTATGTAAAAAGATCTATATGTATGTGGAAAAATGGATCCAAAAATGGATCTGGATGTTCATGTTAAATGTTATTTTCTCTAGAAAACATTAAAAAAAAAAAAGCTGACTGTTGCTTTTGGTTTTGGGGTTTTTTTAAGATGTATGTGAATAACTTGAGATTATTGATAAGAAATTTTAGGCTTTTACAAGTCTGTTGTCACTTGGGTTTGGTTTCATTTTTTTTCCCTGTACTGTTTGGTGCCAAAGTTCTGGAATCTGTGGCGAGATAAGTATGACTTCCTGGAACGGCTTCCTGTCCCATTGCTCCTGTACATCATTTCCTTTCTGGAGTTTGAAGATATTGCCAGACTTTCTCAAGTTTCACACAGGTCTGAAACAGTAAAAATTTTGGCATGTTGGGTTTGATTCATCTCATTGGTTTAACATAATTGTCAATCTGTCTGCTTTACTTAAGACAAGTAAAGTAAGGGTTGTCTCTTTATTGAGCTAGATCTTAGAGAGACAGTGCTTATCCTGCAAACTTTTATTTTATAATAAACACAATGATGCAGACAATTCCATTGCCACCCGTGGCTGCATGTTATCCCCTACTTCCAGGATTACATACTGGAAATGTAAAACCTTTGCTTTATGTTATGATTCGTGTTATTGTAATGTTTAGAAACTTCAGCCACAGCCTGGGATCCCCTTATGTTAGACTCATTAGCAAACAAAAAGTCACTGCCATTCCTTACATTTTCATCTGTGACAAAAGACAGGAGCACAAGGAAAGAGATTTTTTTTCTTTTTTTTTCTTTTTCTTTTCTATTTTTTGTTAGACTTCACTGCAAGAAACTGTAAGAAACACAGGAGGAGAAAGAGATGACTTTATGCTTGCTTGCTAGGAAGTTCTTTCCAGCTATCAGGAAAGCATGGGAAATAGTATGAACATGTTGAACTTAAACTTTAAAGAGAGAATAACAGAAGTCGCCACTATTGGCTGCCTGGAGCTCAGAGCAGCCTCCCTGTGCTGAATGAGGGGTAATGAATTGGAAGGGTAGCCTGGACATTGCAGAAAAATGAGGGGCAATCTGTCCCTCATATTGAAAAGTCCTTCATATAGAAAAGTCATATTGGAAAGGCCTTTGAGAGGTCATCTGTTCCAGCTTCCTGGTCTGTGCAGGGTCAGGAAATTGGGATAGAAAGACAATGTGTTCAGAGCTATGATCTAGGAAGCTTATTTTTGTGGGTCTGAATTCCTCAAAACTGTATTTTCTATCCCAGTCAGAGCCTGAGAAAAGGCTGCTGCAATAACTCCAGTAGGGGGAGAAAAAGATTTTAGCTTATGAAAAACAGGAAGAGAAATGTTTTAAAGAGAAAAATAACTTCTTATCCCTGAAGGTGCTGTAGGAGCCTAGAATCAAGCCTGTCAAGTTATGAGTTGAGCAGTTAATGAAAACATAAGGAATGGTGAGACCTTATGAAAAAGTTAAAACCAGGTTTAGTTGTCTTGAGTCTGCTGTGACAACTAGATACACTCTGAAAGACTTCAGAGACAGATTAACTGTGTAGTGTGGAGAGTGGGATGTGTCTGATACAGAGCACATCTCCAAACTGTATCAGGATGAGATTGCTCCCAGGGTTTCTATTATTTTGAGGCTACGTGGGTCAACATTTCGAGTTGTGTGTCAGACTGCTGGCAGTCCCACAGGACGTGGCTGTGCTGCAAAGATGTTACAGATGCTTCAGCAAGACACAGTTCAAGTGAGCACAAGAAATAGGAGACAGTGCAAAGAAAGCACAGGAGAACATGGTGAGTCAGGAAAATAGAGCATGTCATTAATTTAGAGATGAAGGCCAGATGGGAGTAGATAAGCTTGCTGAGTTCTGGGCTTTATTTCAGTTTGCAGATAAAACAGTTGATATTGCGACTGGGAAACAACTGGTTAGAGAAAAGGGAATAAAAACAACTAAAAGAGAGGAAGAAAATGGATAGAAGAGAGGTCAGGAAATTTTTTGTTAGTATATTTGGAATTCATCTGTCATTTTGCAGACTATGAGTGGAGCAGGATGAGGTACTGTGCAGGGCAGTAAACTTTTCATTAGTTTAACATAAAACCTTGGATATTCTGGAATTTAAGGAAATCCTAGAAAGAATTAAGTTGCATGATAAGAAAGATAAGATTTTGGCACAATGAAATAACCTACTAGTAGGTTCTCTTTCTCTCATTTCACAAGTATTTTTAGGGAATTAAAAATTTGCCCCAATAATATGAGTTTTCCTTTCCAAAATAATTCACGTGTAGGCTGGAATGCTGCTCTCTGCGGAATTATAAAATATCGTATTCAGATTTTATATTTTTTGTCCCGGCACAAGGGCAGGGCGGGACTCGTTTCGGTTGCTTTGGGACGAGCCTCTTGCAGAATTCCCGGTGCTGCGGGGACGTTCCGCCGCCAGAGGGCGCCGGGCTCCCGGGGCACGGCCGGAGTCCCCGGGAACGGGGAAGATCCGCGGGAACGGCGGGAGCGGCTGCGCTCTGCTTCCTATATTTATTTTTAATTTTTTTTTTTTTTTTAACAGAGCACTGCGTTTGGAAATAAAAACATTTGATACTAAAAGCCAGCCTCTGCTATTTTTAACTTCACGGTGTCCTTTTCTCATGGGAAAAGCTGAATGGGGGGAGAGGCAGAGAGAAAGCAGAAATTCAAAGAAAACTTTTAAAAGGTGTAATATTTTCATTTCAGCACTTCTACAGCAATTTTGCCTCAATGAACCCTGCTTTTCCTTTGCTAAAAACATGGTAGGATGTTATGTGTGCCTGCACAAGAACAAACAGTCCACACGTACAGTGACAGCTTTGCTGTAGGCAGTGAATTAAACAGTTTAAGGTATTCAGCTCCATCAGCAGTAACACAAGTTATACCAGGACTTTTGCTGTTCTATTTCTGTTACCACTTACCAGCCACTTGAATTGGAGTCATTGAGTACAACTGCACTTAGGTCCCTGCAATTGCACATGTAGAGAAGTGGAACGTTTGGGGAAAAATCAGTGTTGCTGTGCTCTTGTATTACTTACGATGGGTAGATAATATATAATGACACAGAGTATCTTCCTAATTTTTTTTTGTGATAGTTCTGTCATCTAACAAATTACATAATTTTTTCTTCCTCTTTATAATATTTTTACCTGATTTTTTATGGAGTCATTCTGAAAGAGAGAAGCACCTCCTGACAAACAGGCTTTATCCTTACAGTACTTCTGAAAGTTGCCTGAAATTGCATTTCTGTTGTAAGCCCCAAGGCTTGTCTTACATCCTTGAAAACAGATTTGTATTTCTGATGTGATTTCTACATCCTGACAAGTCTTTTGGCATCAGCTTCCCCAGCTTGGTTGATTTCAGAGCAGGTGTATGAATCACATACCAGGAGATAATGGCATTACAGCTGCTTTTAGTGTGGCAGAAAGGCCTTTGATATCATACCAGAAGAAGCTTCTCAGATATTTCACAGAACAACATGGGATATCTTGCACTGGCAACTCTGGGCAAAACTTCCACTGATATCTTGTGAGTTTTAACTAAAACTATGTCTTTTGAGATATGTGGGCAGCTCGCACTCCAAGTGACCTTGATACAAGGCCTCTGTGCTGTCTAAACACATTCAGTGTAGTAGAATAATTGGCAATGAGTAAGCCAAATTATGATTCTAACCCTCTACTTTCTCTTACAACTACCTATGTGACAGTGTGCTATGGGAAACTATTGTGGAGAACTTGTGTGACACAATCACACCTGAAATGAAGGAGCTGGCACAGGAAGTGGGCTGGAAACCATTCTTCACACACAGATGTCCACTGCAGCTACAGCTCTGAAGGAGGAGGCAGAAACAAGATGTTCAGAACAAACAACTGAATAAAGGTGCATTTTTCACTGAAACAATTGTTGTAAGGTGTGGGTTTGCTGTTTATCAGGTCAAACACATGGAATTCTTTACTGAGGAAAGCAGATTTTTTTAGGGCATCCTGAAACTGTGTTACAATCAGCATCATAGCAGTTACTAGTAATATAAATGGTTGTGGTTTCTTTGTACTTCTTCATTCTGACTTCTCTGGTTTGTATATCTGCTATCCATGCTCCATGGCTTATAGCAGATGCTGTGGCATTGCCATTAGTACCTTTACAGAAGCATATATCACTTCGTACTAGAAAAATTGTTCTTGAGCGCTGGGCTTTTTACTGTCCCCCATAGTAAATCTGCAGTGTTTACAGGCCAATAACATGTAGCTCATTTCCAGAGTTCAATATGTGTTGAAATGTTTTTAAATTAATTATCTAAACTTCAAACAAATAATAATTTTGTCACCAAGAAGAAAATTCTTTGGAGACTGACGGTGTGGATCAGATGATCATCCTCATCTTGGACAATCCTTGAACACCATGTTAGAGGCACTCTGCCAGGATGGCAAATGGGAAACGTGTTTTCTTCATCCTGCTGATGCAGGAACTATTTACTTCCATTGTTCAAGTTGCATATTTGATAAGAAATATTGGCTGTCTTTCAAGAGTGTAACTGTGGTTCCTTAAGAGTATATATGTATATATGTATATATGGTTCCTTAAGAGTATATGTGTATATATATATATACATATATATATGTATATAACATATATATCCTTTCTTCTTTGTGATTCTTTCATTTTAGGATAATGACAAATACAGATTTCATTATGTGGATAAAACACTGTCCTAACTGAATTAATAAATGAATAGAAAGTGTATTTTTGGGTAATGTAATTTTATTCCCAACATATGGCCCATAGAAAGATATAATGCAGATATCACAAGTGAACAGCATATTATTTATTACTGTAATATGCAAATAAAGTTACCTTTGACAAAAGACAGAGTGAAGATCTATGTATGAAGGGTACATATCTTTCAAAAAGAAAAAAAAGGAAAAGAAGGGAAATCATCACTTCAATATATATATTTCACAGATAAAAGATAGCTCAGTTAAAATAAGCTATCAGCAGCATTCACAACAAGACATTAAACCTGTAACAAAGAACTGATGTGAAAGTTTATGTGAACATTTTCTCCAACAAAAAAAGCTGATTTTAAGAAGTTACTGTGTGCTCACACCATGTGTTGCAGTTCAGTGCCACCTCAGTTGTTTTATGTGACTTTTAAAGGCCATACATAACTACTATATGATTGAACTGATCTAAATCTTAAAGTAGTTCAGGGTTTTCTTAAGGTTTCTCTTTTTTTTGGCTCATTTCAGTGATCTATTTTAAAATATGTCCTTGCCAACAGTTGTAGAAGTGCAACACTAAGAAGCTGGTGAATTGCAATATAGAACAATACACACAGTGGTTCAGAACTTTTTCTCAGCCAACCTTGCAGCTATAAAGAGGATCAGTAGTGTTGCAAACTCAACTATGTCTAACAGTTCTTCAGTATAATTGAATGGCATCAATTGTTTTTTTAAGGAATTCCAGCAGCACATATCAGTGTTATACTAAGAACCTGATTTGTCATGCAAAAAACTTTCATAAAGCTAGGGGGATAAAAACATACAGTGGCTTTTCTTTGATAGAAAAATTAACGTCAGATTCACCTCTCAAAGCTGAAAAGTATGTCCTGTCCCACCATACACCACCTTCTGCATTGGTTACCAGGTGCTTAATGTTAAGAAAATTTATTTGAATAATTCAAATGTTCTTTATTCACTATGTTATTATGTTATTATAACACAGTGTTATAATATATGTTACATATATGTTATGTTATGTATAACATACATATATGTTATAACATATAACTATGTTATAAATGTTATTATTCACTAGAAAATAAGATGCTGTAGAGCTCTTCTATGCTCTGCAGCATCTTATTTTCTAGTGAATAAACTTCTCAAACATGACCAATCTTATTCACTTCATGGTGTACATTATGAGCAGGAACACAACTGCTCATAATGTAACAGGTTTTTTTATTAAAGTAATTGTAACAGAATTTAGTGTGCTGTAGTAGAGCTCTTTCCCATGGAAGGACTCAGTGCCAATGTTAAGAAGTTCTGCAGTACCTCTAATTAGGTAAAGGGGCCACAGACCCCAGACTGTTTCTGGAATCATTTTCCAGTCACAAGAATATTTTCCATATGTTTCCCGTTTCTGCATTTATGATTTTTTTACTTCAGGTGCATTAAGTGTCACAGCATTTATAATGCAGCCTGTGTGTTGAGGATGGCCACTTTTATTACGCAGTTGATACTTTAAAAAAATAAAATTAAAAATCCTTGAAGTAGAATCACAGAATATTCTGAGCTGGAAGGGACACAAAGAGATCATCAAGTCAAAATGAGTCACTTCAGAAAAATATAAGAACTTTTCTTCAGTTTTGTATCACAGAAATAGTAATTTTAAAACACTGAATTAACGGAATTCTCATACTAGCATTTCAACAGTACTTGACTAGCCAGGCAAGAAATACAATCATTTTCTTACACTCTGTAACTATCAGACTGAACACATAGTAGGAGGGACCTTTATAAATCATTCGTGTCCTGACCAAATTCTCTCGTAGGACTCGTGTAAATCAGGAGTAACTGCGCTGCAGTCAGTGGATTCTCACCAGTGGTTAGTGGTGAAAAGTTGAAAGAGAAGCAAAGGTAAAGGCTACTAGCATTGTGCTGATATTAAAAGAATAGCAGTGTGCTTTTAATCACTGTATTTGGTACTTCTAAAGTAAGAGATCTTAACTATTTTAAAAGCATGTTTCTCATAATTTATTAGCATTATAGAGCACATTTGCTTTTCACTTAAGTACAGCTTAATGTGGTTGGTTTCATAAGAAAAACATCTTCATACTGTCACACAATAGAAACATGAAATCAAAAAAGTTCTGTAAAAAAACTTCTGGAATTTGTTCTATACTTGTGCTTCTTCTGTAGATTTTTGTCTTGGTTGTTTCTTTTGAATACAAGGTTGTATAAGTAAAAATATTATTCCCACCATGTATAGCAAGCCAGCTATGTAAAAAGAAAAATCGTATTTTTGTGTGATGTCATAGATCCAACCTGGAAAATAAGGACAAAACATGTTTGTTACAAAGCTTGACAACAAGGTATACTGCATGGGAAAATACAAAAAATACTTCACATTTCTCTGATGACATTTCAGTCAAATCCATAGATGTTTTGTGGAAACAAACAATTTTCAAACAGGTTGTCACAGGTCTGAATTTAAAACAGACATTTTGTAATCCCAAACCAATCAGCTCTTCCACCCTACTACTGCCTTTGTGAAATCCCCAACACTGCCCAGTTCAAATGCTCTGCCCTGTGCAAGCAAACATATTCCCAACAGTTTCCTCAAAGACTCACATACCAGTAAAAGACTTTTGAAGAGATATAATCTCAGTGCTTCAGTGATTCTCATTCCAAACTCAATTCCTTTGCAAAACCACATTAAAGTTATTTCAGAAAGGTTTGAGAACCCAAACTAGCAAAATTCTCTCATGTCACGCTGGCTGCATTGCGATGAGACCACAAGATCAGCAGCTCTTTTAACATCAACCACTTGCATCCTATTTGCTTTGTAACCAATGACCAAATACAGAGCCACGTTCAGCACAGACTGGGAGGTGCTGAGGGAACAAATGGCAGAGTGAAACACTGCTGCTTTCAAAGGGCACTGAGTGAGCTTTCTTCTGACTCAGAGGTGAGCAGAGGAGCTGTTCTCTCTTTTCTGAGCTGCTTGTGCTGCCAGTGGCTTCCTTCAGCCCACAGCCATCCCTGGCTGACCATGGCCAAGACTATCAAGGTTTCTTTCTGCTTTCTTCTGACCAACATCCCTGTAAAAGAGAGCTGTAGTCTGGTACAGTACTGACAATCAGGACCCCTATCTCTTCTGCACTTCCCTGCCTTTTTCTATGAGAAAATTCATAATGAATGTCTGTTCAAACCTAAGTAACTAGGGGTACTATACATACACTTCTACCTTCTGCTGTGAATGGCAGTAAAGAGGTTATGAGCACTGCAGTCCCCAGAGTAAGTATTTCTGGCTGAAGGAAGGCAAAGTTAGTTACATCAACACATCCACTGGCAGCTTAAAGTGGTGACACCCAAACACACCCCACAGTCCTTGGGGGTAATAACTGTGGTACAAACAGCTGCCTGCCCTGGGAACTAATCATCATTTTTTCATGTGGTAGAGGAGTGGGTATGTATACTGCATATACTACATAAAACAGAAAAATAGGTTACACCTTTCTAGTTGAAAAAAAGTGCATGACACTATTTTAGGGAAACATACCATTGAAAGCATAGATTGTAATAAATCTGGGGTTATTTCCAAGAACTGGAATTTGCAATGTGTGAGCTGGTACCCAGAAGATGTGATCTGTGAATTTGTACAATTTAAAGCTGAATGTTATAGTCCATTCTGGAGTAGCTGTGATTTTGTTAACTACACATGCTCATAACAAAATTTAATAAGAGAAGGAGTCATACAGTTATTATACAAACATCTGTTGTTTAGCAATTTGAACTTTTTACCTGCAAAGGGTGGTCCAAACAATGCAGATATTCCATTGGCACAAATGATGATCCCATAGGCATTTGCAAGGTGTTTAGTTCCAACTAAATCTTCAGTCACAACAGGCATTAGAGAAAAATAGCCACTGGAAAATCCTATTAGAGCACAAACCACAGCCAGGCCAACATATGTTTGTATTAGTGGCAAAGTAAGAATGCAGGTGACCAGGGTAAAGTTAGCCATAAGGAAGACATTCCATGTGCTGATGCACGGGAGATCAGAGATGATTCCAAGAATCACTTTACCAAAAATATGAACAATTGCTATAATGGATGTCAAAGGAAATACATTGTCCTGCCTAGATAAGTTGTACTGCTTGACTATTTCTGGAAGATGAATAAAGGGAATGACAAAGCTGCTATAGGCAAACAAAGCCCAAATTATAAAGGCCACAAATACTCTATTGGTAAACAGTGATGCAGCTCCAAAGTAGCTGGAGTACCATAGTGCAAAGCCCTTCCTGACTGTAAGTGTCAGCTGGCTCACTGTCTTAAGCAAGCGCAGTCCATACATATTCCTTCCGCTCCCAGAGTTACCTCTGATTTCTATGTGCTGAGCACTCTCAAGCACTTCTTCATTTGTTGCCTCTTCTTTTTTCTCTGGTTCTTCACTGAGGACTCCATTAGATTTTATAGTCTCTGTAGAATGGGACAGAGCTTTTGCTTGATTATCTTCACTATTACTTCTCACAACAGATTTTTCACTCAGGTCTTTGGGGGAGAGAGGTCTCATAAGTGCCCCGCAGACACAAAGGTTCAGAGAGATGGCACCCTGGATGAACATGGCATTTCTCCACCCAAATTCAGTGCAGAGGTACTTCAGTAAGGCAGTCATTAAGAAAGCTCCAAATCCTGTTCCTGTGGTACTGAGCCCTTGTGCAAGTGCTCTTCTCTTCTGAAAATACTGCCCCACCATGACCACTGCAGGCAGATAAACCATGCCACTTCCAATGCCTATGAAAATAATAAAAAAAAAAAATCCTAAATAAATTTAAACTTTTTGCCAACAATGTAAAAAGCAATGAAAACCAGATCAGTTTTATTCTAACTTTTATGCAAGCATACTGGTGAAACCAATAATAAATATTAATTAATATTCAATTCTGATGTCAGCTTTCATTTCTGTCTTGTAGTGTTTTCCAAAATTTGCAATACTCATTCCAGTGAGAATACAAAACAGATATTTAACTGCTGGAAAAACTTAAACACGTGGAAGATAAAACCTTACCTCAGTTCAGCATGACACTGCTGGAAGGGCACAAACGTGCCACAACCAATCAGGGACAGTTAATGTGAGGACAAACATAGACACACCCTATTCTGCATTTGCAATACCTGCATCTGATTGTATCAGTGACCCAAACTGCTTAGTGAGCACATCTTGCTGCTTTCCCCTAAGTTCACCAGCAATGAAGATTCACACTGAGTTTTTGTCCTTGCTCTGTAACTGTGGTGCCGCAGTGACCACAATATGTGTTTCAGGAGTCAGCACCAGGGCTTAGCACGGTGGGGGGACCTTGGGTGGCTTCCAGGCTGGTTCTCTTTGGGCACTCCAAGGAAGTCCACACAGTAGCTGCACAGGCGTAAGTCTTAAAAGGCAGACCTCTAATGTTGTAGAAACCCCCTCACCTGTAGTTAAAAACCAAGGTATTCATGGTATATACTTCAAGCAGAAAGTGTTAAGAGCTCTGCAAACTCATCATTAAAGAAGACAGTTGCCCATTTTTTCTCACAGCCTATTCCTCATAGAGGAATTTGGACTGCAACGGGTGTATACACTGTGATCATAATTCAGAAGAGTGTTTTGGGGTTTAAAAGTTTTCCTAAACAGGTGATAACACAGCTGCAAGCAGCTACAGCATGATCTAGCTACAGCTAGGTGTGAGAAAGAGCAGTGATTCCAGCAAAGCCTGAAAAAAAAGCCCTTCAACATCACAGCAGTGACCATGACCAGAGCTGACCTGTTTTGCCTATTAGAAGTATTTATTTCTTTGCTAGGCAAATCCACATTCAGGTTTTTATTTTGCACAAATGCCCCTCCCCGGCCACAGAGTTCAGGGAGGCCTCTTTGCCCCCCTGGAGACCTCCTGCTCCTCAGGCTGCTCTGGAGCTCTGCTGCCCCTCACTGCTGGCTGCAGTGAGGAGTCAGCTCCTGCTTGCACCAGTGCTCACCGTGTTTCCCCAAGAATACAGAATTTTAAAATGGTGTTATCTTTTCATTCTGAGGACTACATAGCAGGAGACAGTCTGATTACAAGTGAAGGCCTCACGTTCCTCCCTCACAGGCACACACGGGGCCGCAGGTCTCTCCTTGCCTTTTCCTCACAGATTCGTCAGGGCCAGCTCTGCTCTGCCCCCGCCATGCAGGGCCTCGGGGACAGTCTGTCCCCAGCCCACAGTGCCTGCCAGTGCCAGCGGCTCCAGGACCGGTGAGGGGAGAAGGCTCCTCTGCCCCCACACTGCTTCTGAGGGGAGGAGAGCCCTCAGAGCTGGGCTGGAGCTGTCAGCCAGGAGGTGAGGGGACCAGGTTGTGAGGAGCTGGGGAAGGGGAACCACCCTGAGGTGACCACCCCGGAATGGGCTGAGGCAGCAGGCTGGCTGTGGACAGGGAGACACGGTGGGGTCATAGGGACATCCTGTGAAAAGGCAGGAGCCATGAGTATGCCCACAGGCACAGCATGAAGTGCCCACAGGCACAGAAGTGATGGCAGCAAGAGGTGGCCAGTGTAAGGGAACAGCAGCCATGAGAACATGGCAGAGACTTCCCTGGGGTGGCGGGGAATGAGATGACCGTGAGCAAGGGGATGGGAGTGAGTGGGCAGAGACTGAGGCGAGGGGTGAGTGAGGAAACCATGTGTGAGGGGGTGATGAGCCAGGGACCGGTGAGTCAAGGAGATGGTGAGTCAGGGGACAGTGAATGGAGCTCTCATGGAGCTGGAAGGAACATCTGAGGCACTGCTTTTCTGGCCAGAATTACTCCTGCAACAGCACTTTATTTCTCCACCTCACATAAAAGTTTGCTTCTGAATTTTTTCCATATAATCTTTGTCACTTTGTGTGTGCTCTTCCTGAAAAGCAGCAAGGGCTGAGGGAAAAATGTGTAGATTCCTGCCTGCTCAATTATATTCAATATATACAGAAACAGAAATTCTGAAAAAGGCAAAACCCTGTCTGTGGCCGTTGTTCTTTGTTCAGGAATTTACATTACTGAAGTCTATGTTATGGTGGTGTATAAAGAGTCAGTACAGTGACCCTTGCTAGTTTCAATATTTCTCTACCCAGAGGGCTAAATCAAATTTTCTATATAGAAATTCTGTAGCTTTCTATGAAATTCTATGGAAGGACAGTTTAAGAGAATGCGGGGTACTGAAGCTATTATTAGTATTACAAACAATTCCTTTTTTTCATGACGTTTCGATCTGTCACATATAATGCAGACACTGTGCTTCATTTGCAAACATAGCTGGCCATGTTATCTGTGGAGTGAGTAATATTTCAAAGCCCCTTGATTGCTCAGTGTTGCTCAGATGATAAGTAAAGCCCAAATTTTATATTTCTTACTTGGGTAACTTTCACATTTCTGCTTCATATCTATTAACAGTATCTCTTTGCAGAAATGAACAGTAAATAAAATGAAGTAGTGCTTTAAGCAGATAATACTGGGCTATTCTACATAAGTTACTTAAAGTAACTAAATTTTTTCACAAGACACATTATTGCTAGAACATGAGCATTCAGGCACTAAGGATCTGTTGATTTTGAAGAAAAATGCCTTTTCATATTTTGATCAGGGTCTTACAAGTCAAAAGGTTTTCTAGACATCTAATCAATTAAAATGACAAAATATTACTTTGGTCATTTTGGTTGTAAAAAAGTGTAGCACTATTTGTTGCTATACATGATTGTTGATACAATGTGAATATCCTTTATTAGAAATTAGGTATGAAATCCAGCATCATGAATTATCCTAATTGAGGCTGGGATAGAGTTGATTTTCTTCCTAGCAGCTCATACAGTCCATGTTTTGGATTTGAGGCCCAGCTGATAACATGGCATGTTTTAGCTGTTGCTGGGCAGTGCTTACACAGCACCAAGGCCTTTCCTGTTTCTCACACCCCCCAACAGTGAACAGGCTGGGGGAGCACAAGAAGCTGGGAGGGAACACAGTGGGATAGGGGACCCCAGCTGGCTGAAGGAATATCCCACACCATTTCATGTCATACTCAGTAATAAAACTGGGGGAAAGAAGGAGAAAGGGAGGGCATTTGGAGCTGTGGCATTTTTCTTCCCAGGTAACAGCTACACGTGACCAAGCCCTCCTTTACTGGACATGGTTAAACACCTGCCTGCCCATGGGAAGTAGTGAATGATTCCTTATTTTTGTTTTGCTTGTGCACACAGCTTTTGCTTTACCTGCTAAACTGTATTTATCTCATTTTTACCTTTCTGATTCTCTCCCATCTCACTGTGGAAGAGTGAGAGAGGTGCTGTATGAAGCTTATCTGCCTACCAGATGTAACCCACTTCACCCTTTAGTTTTAAAGCAGCACATAGTTATTATAAACCAGTATTGTATTAATGTGGAGCAACTCCTGGAGAAAACATTTGCTGTTTTGTCCTGTGACAAAGAGAGAAGTTAGCTATATATATATAATTCAACAGTGTTTTAATATCTTTAAATTTCATTTGTTAAGAGTTTGGGTTACGTTAATTCTTCCAATTAAAAATGTCCTCTAATATATTCACTTGGGTAAAACTGATAAAAGCCCAATCCACTGAGTAAATAATTAAGATTTCTAAAAAGATAAAAGGCTGTAAAGACTGTGAAAGAAGAGCTGGAATAACTTTACAGTCTAACTTCCCTCTCAACTCACCCGGATAACCTTCAAAGGAATCAAAAGTAATTGAACTTCCAAACATTAGCACAGCGCTCACCGGCTGTCACTCCAAACGTAAGGAAGAGGTAGTGCACATTGGAGGCATAGGCACTCAGGATCCAACCCAGGGCATTCAATATCCCTCCAATTATAGCTGTCAGCCGGCACCCACACATGCTGATGAATAAACCAATAAAAGGACCTGTTAAAAAACACGAAAAAAAAAGAAAAGATAAATTATTTAATTCTTTATGCTCTAGTAATTTTTCACATTGACTTTTTTAATGCTTTAAATAAAATGTAAAACATCAGGCAACTTGTGCAATCCAGTTTATTTTCCATATTACTGCTTAAAATTATGGAAAGAAAAATATGACCAACTGATCAAATACTTAGCAGCAAATACTTGCGAGACCTAAAATCAAAGTTGCCTCATGAGGGATAGACAGTTTAAACAGAGGAAAAAGCTGAAACTGCTGTTCCCAATGCTGATGCTGTGTGAGTGCAGGCCTTTTTCATAAATAACTAGAAAGTAAACATTTTATTTTGTTTTCAGTGGGATATTTTAAGCAGATCTAAACACAGCTTTTTCAGTCTTCATTTAGGGAGCCATAGGTGTATATATACATATACATGCAACCATATCCTCCAGATATTATTTTGAATTGATCCAACCACAACTTAAAGTAAGTTTTAATTCAGCTGCCAAACTGAAATATAAACTGAATCCAACATTTTCTCCTCCTAGATAGAGTACAGGAAGGACCACAGGCTTCACAGATCATCTGTTTCCTTAATTGTAGTGAGACCTTGAAGTCACAGGCTTCCTTTCCTGCTCATCCCGTCTCCTGGACTGACATCCCTATCATCTTCCCTGTTGTTCCCTCTCTCCATCTAAATTGTAAAACTCATCCTAGGGACTTCAAAAAGGCAACTCAGGACAACTTTGTCAGCTCTGCTAATAAAATGGGAAACTAAGAAAATACTTTAGGGATGAATGGCAAACATATTCTAAAAATCTATGTAGTTTTGAAATAAGTGATGCTAGAACGTACCTACAATAAGTGTAATGCCCATGCTGAGGGAGCTGACCCACGCTGTTAAGCCACGGCTTTGATTAAACTCTTCAAGCCATTCCATGTTGAGTACTCCAAGGGCCATTTGGGAACCCATGATAAGTATGTGCACAAGGAAAGAGGAAAATACAATCATCCAAGCCCATCCTCCATCGATGTTTGGATTAGGCTTAACTGGCTTACTTCCAACTTTTGAGTCATCTCCAAAATCATACCCAATATCCTCTCGACTAGCATACATTTTCTCCACAGTATTCTGAAACAAATGCAGTAAATACCTACAAAATACACACAAAAAGATCAGACTTTGTATTTTGGCTATAGTGAGTACCACAAATCCCTATCATATTTCAGGACTTTATCTAGTGCAGTTCTCAAGTTAATATTGTGATTTCATTGTTCAAATGTAAAATGCTTAGAAAATTGTCCAATTAATTTATTTCTCTGTGTATCTTATTATCATGGCTGTCTATGCAGGAGTATTTACAGGCTAAGAGTAGGCTGTACTATTTCCATTACTATAGATTCTACTTACTTTCAGGCAGCTGAGAGCACTCACTCTTCATGGGTTGACTGTGGTCACAAAAAAGACCAGTCTCTCTCTGTATATTTCTTCACTGTATCACCTTCTGCTGTCCCAATAAGATTTTGTGCCTTTGGGTTCAAGTTCATAAAGCTTTGAGTAAAGAAATGAAATCCTCAAGAGGCGAGTAGATGAAGTTACCCCATCTTTTCAGAGGAAACCAGTTTCAGATGTATTTCTTCCTTAGCAGTGGCAGAACAAGAATGAAGACAGCAAAAGATAAAGAATTAAGGTTCTTGATTTTCAAAATGCTTTGCTTACATAAATCACAACAAGGGGATTGTTACTACCTCTCTGGCAAGCTTTTTAGTAGAGTCAACGTGACAGTTTGCTATTATGCTTTCAGTTTCCATAGTATTAATCCTTATAATCCTACCAAAACCAAAGAATTCTTCCAAATGAATGTCAGTGCCTATTAGAGTCAAACTGAGACACAGAGTTATGTGCATAGGTGCACATAGGATCAAGCCATACTTAGCTTAATTTGATTACTTCAGTTTATTGTGTTGTTACTCTAAACAAAGATTGCAACACAATGTGAAAATAATTTCAAAACCATTTTTAATTGATTAACATGCAAGGTGCAGAACCCAGCCTTCCCTCCATCTGATTTCTGCTGCAACAGATTGAAATATTACCCAACTGTGGAGCACCACACAGGTTTCCATGGAGACTAGAAATGTAATGATACAATTTACCAGAAATGGTAATTTTTTGTCTTTCCTTCTCCAGAGAAATAAAAGAAACATCAGCTTCACAACAGTTGAAACAGAGAAGAAAGTTATCAAAAATTGTTTAAAAAAGCTCCTTATATATTCTGTGAGCCCTCAGAAGGTGTGTTTCTGGGCTAGCTCCTCACTGCTGCAAACGGGCAGTGAATGGACTAACTCAGATTCTGTACCAAATGAAGATTTGTCTTTAAATGCAAGACTGCATTTTGCTTCTCAAGGTACTACCTTTCCAAACTATTTTACTTTTTTTCTGATTGCTAGATGAACACAGAGAGATGGCCCTGGAGTATTCCACGCTGATACACAGATGGAGTCAGAGCTGTTTCTCTCACAGACACGAGTGAACACCTGTTGACATGTGTGACCTCCCCAGCCTGGCTGTTGGGTAAGTTATCTTTGCAGTCAAGTGCCACCTGACCCTTCCTGGCACTGCAGGTAATAATGTGTAACTAAGGGCAGCTTGGACACGTAGGTTCCTCCAAGAGCACGCTGATTTGCCTCATACAGTGAGCTGGAGCTAAAATATGTTGTAATCCTGGCATCAAATTTTTCACAGACAGATACTCTTTAGTGACTAAGTTCTCCCTAGCCCTAATTTGGCCATGGCAGGTATTGGTGACAGGGAGGAAGAACAAGAACTTGTGTACACTTAACACTGCATGGACAGATAAACTGGGATCGATTGATGAGTCCACACCTGGCTGCCAGTGGAAATGGGTACTGAAATGCCTTATAGGCTTTTGCTTTCCAAACTGAGAAACAGGAAGAATGGGGATGGTGCTTAGAGGTCTTTCCAGAGGTCCTGCAGGGTGTTTGAGGCAGGAAGGGTAGCAGGGGAGCCAGGCAGAGCCATGTGGGGGTGCAGACTTGTTTTTTGACGAGAAGACAACAGCCTGGGATAGCCTTATTTACAAATATAGCTCATCCTTCCTCTACAAAGGGTAGGTCTTAAAGGTGACATCTCAACTCTTTCCTAACAATGTACTTGGAGCCAGATCCCCTGTTGCTGTAGTTTAGAGGACTACCTGTGGAGGATTCAGCCCACTCACAAGAGAGAAGACTAACTGCATAAAGGCGATAAAGGCAGGGAATAATCATGCTAATGGGAAGTCATGAGAAACAGCAGAATGAAGGAAAATCACAAGCTATTATACATGCTCTGCATAAGATTAATGAAAATGTATGATGGATATTACGGTACATCTTTGATAATGGAATACAAAATTATGTAACTGAAAATTCAGAGTCAGGATTAAATGTGAGGCCTCACCTTTCTCTTTTATGCTTTTGACTGCACACCTGAATCCTGATACTGGATACAAAAATTTTCTTCTTTGGACAGGAAATTGATACATCTTTTACATATTTTAAATTATTTGAAGCAAAAATAATTGACATTGAGCTACAAAGACATGACAGTCATCTTTGCAGTCTTGCTGACAGAATGGGCTTAGATTGAGTAGATGCAAGTTAATGTCATACTTGCATCAACCTCCACAAATCTTCAGAAAACGCATATATTTTCCCTTTGAACTGGATTCTTGCTTATTATTACTGTTTTACTGTTAACTTTTCCCTAACGTCGCAATTTCAGAGTGAATACACTCAAAAGCAGGCAAGTCATCTCCAGTAACTGCACAGACTCTCAGGCTCTGGATAAGGTAAGGAATGGATGCCTGGATCACCTTCCCAGTACTGACTCATCGCCCCATGGCCTGTTGTGCCCGGGAGAAATGCACTTACCTGTCCTCAGCCTTCTTCCCACACCACAGCACAGCCAAAAACAGTCTCATGAAAGGCAGAGGAGCCCAAAGGAGTCTTTGTAATTATGAAATCCTAGAGAGCCAGGCCAGTTTCCCCAGTAAGCAAGGCAGTGAAGACCCATTCACAGTAACAATGTTTGAATACAGCCCCTCACAGGGAATTGCATTTAAAGGCAGGACAATCTGGATTCTTGTTTGGTCAGCTGGAGAAGATCTAGATTTTTTTTTTTCAGAAAAGCCTTTAGGACTGTATGCACACAAAGTATGCAGAGCTCTCAGAAAAATGGCCCAAATAGTAGTGCCTGCAAAGATGCTGAGCTTTTTTGAAAATCTGACTCATGAGCTATTTCAGGGACAAATGCAGGTGCTGTAATAAGACCATAGTTAGCAGCAAAACACCCAAGTTCCCTGTACTATCAGTGGAGCTATGGCTCTCTAGCCTGTAGTTGAATATATCATTGAAAAACATCTGATCTTGATATAAAGTCCATATGATGAATAATTGACATATACTTGGGCAACCTCTTCTAGCACGACTGCCTCAGTGTTAAAAGTTACAGAATAAAATTGTACTTTAAAGGCACCTCCAATGGATAACTCATAAACGTATTATAACTAGTAATGAGTTTTGCTTTGCAATATTCCCAGTAGACATACCACATGTAATTATTTGTCTGCTGAAGGCATACAGAAAAAACATTGCTAAAAACATCGTTTATTTTGGTTTTCATATGTTTTGGCAGTCTGACCTCACCTAGCCAACACGAGCACTTCAGCTGTCAGTGACTTCATTGGAGATGCGGACACTGGCCACTTCTGCCACTCAGAGCCACAGTGGCAGGAGCGTGTGTCCAGCAAGGAACACAAAATCGGGGAAATTAAATGTTCAAAAGGCTAACGGCCAGGGTCACAAGTTTGCATATAGCCGGCAGCGGTTCCACTTCCAGACTGGGGGTGCTTCCCTGCTGTCCCTTCCCGAGAGCTGTTTCCCAAGCCCTGCTCTGACCCCCCCCGTGCTGTTCTGCCGCGGTGCGACCCACGCGTGGTGCCACGTCCCCGGGGACTGCGGGGATTGGCTCAGGCAGTAAAACATTTTTCTCCCAAGGGAATGGGCAGCTTTTGCCAAGGGAATGGTCATCTTTCACCGGGCATGCACCTTTGTTTTGTACGGGGTTACGGGAGCAGCCCGAAGGCAGGGGATGTACTTTTCGCCCCAAGATAACAGATCTGGGAGCTCCACATGCTGAGCCTTCCCCCAGCACTCCAGTGAGGTTCCCCTACGCGAAACACCGCCGGGGCGGGCACGGCCGCCCCTGCCCGCGCCGGGGCTGCTCCGGGGGCAGCGCAGCAGCGCCGTGGCGAGCAGGGCGAGGGCCCGGGCACGGCCCGCGGGGCTGCGGCGGGGGCGGCGTTCTGGAGGGCGGCGCGGCGGCGGCACCGCCCGCCCGCGGAGCACAAAGGATGACCGCGAGTTACCCCGCTGCGGCTGCGGCAGCGGCGCTCCCGGCCCGCCGCGGGTCACAGGGGTCCCCGCAGTGCCCGGGCAGCCCCGCGCCCCTGCCCGCGCTGCACCGTGCGGGGACAGCCCGGCCCGGCCCGGCCCTGCGCGCCTTTGCCGCAGGCGGTCCCTGCCCGCTCCCGTCCCGGTGCCGGTGCGGCGGCTCCCGGCTCCTCCCGAGGTACTCACCGCGCCGGGCTCCGCCAGCGCCGCCGTCCCTGCCCGCCACGGCGCCGAGCCCCCGCTGTCAGCCCAGCCCGAGCCCCGAGAGCTGCTGCGGGCTGCGGTGTCCACCTGCGCCCGGCCCCGCTCAGCCTCGCCCCTGCTCGCCGCCCCGGGGCTTATTTTCCATTGGAGTGCGGCACTGGTCTGGGGCCCCCTGCCCCCCGGGCGGCTCGTCTTCTGCACCGCCTTGTCTCCATTCCCTGCAATTTCAAATCTCCACGCTCTTTCATTCCTGCGATACCGGCTAATTCTGGTTTGGCGGAGCAGATTTGCAATCCTCTCACATGCACACTCTTGTGGCTGAATGAAGTTTATTGCTGCACAGGTTATCGCCGGAAATTTACATCCCAGAGAGTTAGAGGATATAGTCCAATAAAAGCAGCCAGTATCAAGATCTTAACGGCCGTTGAATTATGTTTACTTTTTCGTTGAATTTATGCAGCTAAACCACCCTAAGAATGAAGCTTGAAAGTTTCACTCTATGGTACCGTATTTGTGTAATAAATAAGTATCAAAAATATTACTCCCTTGGGAGAAAAGCTGCAGAAATACATTATTTTTTCAGACCAGTATCCACACCTCGGTTGTATCTTTCTGAATAATCTGACTAATGAGATATATATTCTGCAATTCATTGTTTTGATTATTTGCAGTGAATATACCCAGGCTAAAGTGATTTTATGCCACCATACAAAACTTTCATCATCGAAGAATCTTGATGTCCTAGCAGTGCACGGAGTAGTATAAATGAAGACTGTTCAAGAATATGTAAGAAGTACTTTGAGAGAAAAGAAAATGAGGAGAGGCCAACAGGAATGTTTTAGTGGTGTTATTAATGTTGTCTACGTGCAAGACATGGTGGTACAGAATCTGTTAGAATTGGTTTTAGAGGGGTTAAAATATGTGTTTGGGGCTCTTTATATATTTTTTCCTACATTTTTATTTGACTCTTTGGTTTACCTGCTGTTTACACATGAAAATCTCATTTATTTTTTAATTTTAAAAATGTGCTGCTCCATTATGTATTTAGTCTATCAAATATATCATTATGAAACACTTCTATCTGGGTTAGATTCAAGTGTGTGGCAGACTATGGGCTGTTGCTATGGCTTCAGTCTTTACATAAAACTTACACTACTTTGCATTGTAGTCTTCAAAAAATAATCCTTTCCTACAATAAACAGCTGGGTTACTGTCAGAGACTTGTGATTGGGTTATTTATTTCTCCTTCATAAATAAAGCTAGATTTGTCATTTTAAAAGACTATGACACTGCATTGCAAATGTGTGTCATTCTGAAGTATAAATATTCCTTGGTTCCTTTGCGTTTTACAGAAAATACCTTGCCCAACAGTGTATGGGCATTCTTATCCCAGAATTTAGCTTTGGTATTAGCTTTTTGGCTGAAGTCTGGTTTCTTAAAAGGTTAATGCTAGGTATTTGACATTTGAAACCTGCTGCTTTTTGACTAATGTTATTACTCAAGTTTGAGACACATATATTTCCACTTGTGAATTATCTAACATGCTACATGCTTTATTAATCTGGCACAGAAATAGATTTGACTGGCTGTTAACCCCACATTGCCTCCAGTACCTGAGATGCTGCCTGCGTGCCTAAATCCTTGTGCCAACAGAGATTTGATCTGATGGAGAATTCACTTAGCTGTGTCATACTGCTTCAGCAGTTCTGCTTCATGTGTCATTGTGGTTCTGGGCTATAAGCCTGGATTTATGTTGTCTCTTGGGAAGGTGAGTATGTAAGGACCTACTTGAATTTTAACCATTAAATTGTGCAGGTCTAGCAGCAAGGGTACAAACTATTTTCAGTAAGGAAAAAGTCCCTTTTGTAAGAATGGGAAAGACAATTTTATGGTATCAGAAAAAGTGCAGTTTTTGGCAAAGATGAATAAGGTGCCTGATCCAGTAAAATAAGATGTAAACCAAGTCTGACAGATTCTGGTGCACCCATGCACAATCACATGCATCCAGTCACAATTCCATGGACTCGGCTTCAGACTTTTGCTCCTTGTTTTGCCATTCACTATTGCTGGCAAGAGTCCAGCTCAAAGATCTTTGCCGCTCCCCTTCGGGTAGTTTTAGATCGTTAGCATATCTCCCCTTATTTTCTTCTTTGCCAGGCAAACCAAGCCCAACTTCTTCAACATCTCTTCACAAGTCATGTGCTGTAAGCCATTTACCATCTCATCAGCCCTCTGCATGTCCCTCTCCTGTTTCTTGAAATCGTTCTTGAACTGGGGAGCCCTGAACAGGACATATTATCCCAGGTGTGGACTCATTAGCACTAAATAAAGAGGGATAATAATTTCTATTCATCTGCTGTCCATGCTCCCTTCCTAATGTAGCTCAGTGTATGGTTCACTTTCTTCACAATGAAAACACCCTGTTGGCTCATGTCCAGCCGAGTTTCCGCTGTGACAGCCACATGCTTTTCAGCTGCTGCTGCCCTGAGCCTGCACTGGTGCCTGGCACTGTCCAACCCCATCTGTACACTCTGCACTCCTCGTTATACTTCATGAGGTTTCTGTTGACCCAGGTTTTAAGTTTCTCAAAGGCCTCTCAACTGAACCTCCGCTGTTTGTTTTGAAAACCACCCCTTCTAAGTTAGTATTGTCTGAAAATCTGCTGCAAGTGCATCCTGTATCCAAGTTACTGGCACCAGTATTGACTCCAGACTGTTTTGTTTGTACTGGTCACCAGCTAAACATCAACCCATTGATTCCTACTCTTCAAGTCCAGCAATCCATCCAGTTTTACCCATCTAGCAGTACATTCATCCAGACCATACTCTTCAGCTTTTTCCTCACCCTGGGCTCCAACCATTTGCTTAATTCCCATTGCTCACAAGGGCAGCTGTGCTGGAGAGCTTACAGACCATTCAGCCCTCTGCAAATGTGTATTGATGAACATATAACGTGCTATTTAACTTCCCAGCATTTTTCCTCCACTTCTGCTGCAGTGCTGATTATTCTCCTCTCTAAAGCTCTCATTAAGTCAGCACCCTGCTTCCCATGACATGGTGGTGCTGCAGCGATTGGAGGGAGTACAGGTTTGAAATAAAGCCTGGTTGATGCAGGATCAAGACACAGAACAGAAACAACATCCTCCTCCCACTTTTGTTCAACCACTGAACTTTTAACCGGTGCGAAGAAGCATCAAATAATCTGTTCAATTCTTTCTTTTACAGTTATTGCTAATAGGAAAGATAATTTATGGTATTTATAGATTTTGCCTCCTCTTTCTTCCAGAGGCCTCTTTGGGTTACTGAAGAATTCTGTGTATTTGCAAGGGCATGTTACATTGGTCCTGGAGTAAGAAGGAAAACAAGCCAAACTTAATGCTGTAATTTGCCATAGAGACGGCACAGAAGTACAGCTTTCTTATGACACCCTAAAAGCTTGTGTGTTCTCTTCATTTTGGTAACTCCAGACTGCCAAACAGAAATAATGCATATTTTCTTGTTTTCTCACTGCCTGTCTGAGGAGAATCCTTGGTATCTTTGGTGGATTCACCACAAACAACATTCTCAAACAATACCCCGAGCAAGTATGAACATTTTCAGCAACTCCCCCGCCTACTCCCATGATAGCTGCAGTCTTACTCAAATGGGAAAGAATGAACTAATTTGCTATCTTCAAGTTCACCAAAGACTGAGGATAGACCATGGGAATGGAATTCAAAAATAGAAGAAAAAAGCAAAATTTTTATCATTGCTGCCATGGAGAATTCCTTTTGGAGAATAACTACTTGTCTTTTCCCTTTCTGCTCTCCACAGCTGCATTATAGCAGCTACAGATATGGAGGAACTAACAAAGTCCTGTCCAATTTTCTTAGATCCTTCAGGGGGACACTGCAGAATCATAGAATGGTTTGTGTTGGAAGGGACCAATAGATCATGTAGTTTCAAACCTGCTATGGTTGGGAACATCTTCCACTAAAGCAGGTTCCTCAAAGTCCCATTCAGCCTGGTCTTGAACACTTCCAGGGATGGGGCAGCCACAGCTTCTTTGGGCAACCTGTGCCAGCGTCTCACCATGCTCCCAGTGAAGAATTTCTTCATAATATCTAATCTAATGCTACCCTCTTTCAGTTTAAAGTCATTAAACTTGGTAAAACACCCTCTGGGTATCCTATGAGAGATGTGAGAGTTTCCTGGAGTGTATTGAAAGGACAAAACGATGTTTCTCATCAGATGAGGATGCTGCAGGGGTTAACAGTCCTGCCTCAGAGGCTGTTTCGTCAATGCCTTGACAACATTCACATTAGAAGTTCCCCCAGCAAAACTGAGTATTGCCTCACATGAAAGATTGGGGCCAGGCTCTTCCTGCCACAAGAAGTGCAGTACGAATGAAGTGGGACAGTGAATGGGAACAGGACACTGAGCTGGCAGGGTACAGTGGGTGGGTAGGAGTAGGTACAGTGGCTTCTGCTCCTGAACTGGAGTGCCACTACCCACATACTTTTAAGTTCTTCAGTGGCAGCAGCAGCAGCAAACCTGGGTTTCCGTGTTGTAGATAAAGATATCCATAGGAAAACGAATGTTTTGCAACTCCTTATAGTTATTTCCATGATTCAGAAAGTCACACCACAGGAGAAATGATACTTGCTCACAAAACAAAGGAAGAGATGACAAAACAGTCCCTTCTTGCAGTGCTATTTAATTTCAGCTTTATACGTTAGCAATCCAAGTTGCATATCGAGGAGGTAAAATAAACTATGTTATCAAAAAGAACTCTATTACTCCTAAGTGCTGTTGTAACACTAACATGTTTTGCACATGGTGATATCTTGCTTTTCTGGTTTAAAACGTGTGAGCATAAGGGTGTGGTTGCAGTTGGCTGAACATCTGAAGTACAGTGTGAGGAGAGAGAACTTGGGGGCCTCTGATATGACTCACAGTGGCACTGCAGTCACTTCCTCCTGGTCAAACTTGTGCATGTAAGAGATGGCAGAACATTCAGTGAGAACTGCATGACTTGGTCATGGGTCACACCTGTTGCAAATATATGACATTAACTGCAAATTCCAGCAAGGTCAAATTAGGACTGAACTAGTTAATATAAATTATTTATTTCAGTGGTACCAAGGCTGAGTCCTGCACCCTGTGGCATACAAGTCACAGTATTAATCTGTGTGCAGTAGCTTTCTAAAATTTTCACGCTTGGAATATTTTACTCCAACGGGTCCGAAGTAAATGTTTTGCACGTCTTATCCAAATCAATAAATTTGGGTTTGCTGCAGATTAAGCATAAAGTTTTAAATGTATTCCTAGCTTTGTTCTGTAGTTTTCTTCATGCTTATCGTGATGGGCATTTAGGTCAAAAGAATCCTGATCTGTAAATATTTTCAAAATATGATCTAAAACAGTGTTTGTGCTTGTAAATTTTGAGTTCATCTGAGATGGATTTGTGATTTTCCTTTTTGTTTCCCTTTTTATTCTCTGTAGCACCACTGCCAAAGTACTACATTCTTTATAACCAGTGCATGAAATATCAATGCTTTTATGAAATCCGAACATCAACATTTTGGTAACTTGATTTGTATAAAATCCCGAAGCAATATATTTTCAGAAAGGGTATTTTTTAAACACCAGAACTGCAATGATATTATGATTCATGAGAACAGAGCAAGTAAACAATGATTAGAGACAGGAGGAGACACGTACGCTGTCCTCCACTGGATTGAGAGCTGTAAATATGTCAGCCAAGTTAGAGCAGGTAACCCTCAATTCACAGCTAAACTTCATTGTGTGATTAGTGGCTCAGATCTCATAAGGTCGTCTCCATCAGTACTTGAACCAGGTATTTTCAGGTTGTGTGAAGCTGCCAGAGTGTTCTCAGTGTTCTCCTGCTGTTGCACTCTGCAAAGCTGCACAGGCTGTTTTGGAGGGCTGGGGTGTGACTGATCTGCATTAGGCCAACAAAACCCAGAGATTCTGCAACAGAGATCGCTGTGAGAGCTCAGCCGGAACTATTTGTACAAAAGCTGCCATTATGCATCCAAAGTAGAGTCATTCCTTCCTTCTCAGTAACTGTTCCAATGTCACTTGCTTATTTTGTTGGGTTTTTTTCAGTCTCTCTCTGTATAGCACTCATATTATAGTACTCAATAGCTACAGTTTTTGCTAAACAGAGATAGGGGGGGAAATGGAATGTATTATTAAATTGCCTCAA